AGACTGATGACTTTGTGGGATTGAATCAAAAATGCAAATATTATATGTTTTTAGATAGGTACCATTTAGATCACAATTTCTTCATGCATTTTCTGATCGATTTGTGGTGTTATCTATTCAAATATTCGTCCACATTTCTCAACATCCCTGTGATTTTCGAGGTTTCCTTTGTATTTATAACTTGTTCATCTAATCTCTGCAGTATTATTTGAATCACTATTTTATCCCCTTTTTCTCAGCACGGTACCGTATACTGAAAAAAAAACTAATAATAAGTATTTAAACAAATTGACAGGATAATCTGGGGTATCAATTAATTTTCCTATAAAACCCCCTGTCTATCATTGTATTTTCGAATATTTTCTGAATCCAATGATACCACATAAGTGACATTTTAAGCTTCAATATTGCCTTCAATTTCATTTTTGATTCTCCATCTGGGTGTGCATGACTATGCTGATCGAAAATGATGTACTCATCACGACAGGTGTGATGCTAAAAAAATGATACTGTCGAAAATGTCAAATTTCTTGATTTATCACAAAATTATGTTCCTGAAAATGGTTTGGTGTATCATGATGCTGTTACACCCGGTATAAATATTTATTGGTCCAAACTTTTGAAATCGCTAATACTGGATTCATAGATTCAACTAAACTAAGAACTAAACTAACAACTATGAACTCAAAAAGTTGAATACACGCGGAAACATCTATGAGTTTTTATACATTTACATCACTAAGAATTAGAAAATTCTGAAGGCAGAACCTGAAGATTGGATTTGTGTGGAGTTTGGTGATGATTAATAAGTGTAATATTTTTTATGGATTCATGAATTGTGGATCACTTTTCAACATCATTTTGATCTTTATGCAAAAGGCATTTTACATTTAATTCCAAATTAATATCAGATATGTATAGGCATCCTTATGATTATTCATTGTTGATTGTTAATTGTTAATTTCTAATTGTTAGTTGAATTGAATCTATACATATATACCCAGGATAATGGCAGCATCGTTTTGTTTTCACCGTCAGACTGTCATCGAATCGCCAAGCATTTATTTTTTGAGCGCTGGTCGTCCTTAACCCACATAGGAATCAACTTTAAGCAAGTTTTACTTACATAATGATTGGTACGAAATACCGACTTCCTTTATAAGGTACATTTTTTTAACCTCATTACAAAATTTATGTGTATAAGTTCGCGTTAAGAACAGTCGATAGCTCGTTCCAGATTTCGATTCACTCTCGATTTCATGCTGAAAAATACATGGTAGCAAAAAAAATCGGCAATATCGCCATTCATCATTTGCAGGTGTACCGGGTGTTTCTCAAAAGTGGCTCATAACTTTTTTGTTTCTATAAATAAACAAATGAAAGTCTGTGTTTGAGTATAGTTCATAAATATGCATTATTCGACGTATTCAATTGTTTTCTGCCACTTCCGGTTTGACCGGAAAATGACCCATAATTTCTTATTTCAAATGGGACACCTGGTATATTTTCACTTATTTCGATAGAGAATAACATTGTGAGTACGATGAAATCCCTATTTGCCACTTTTTTGACATTTTTCATCGTGAAATTTAGATTTTTCAATTTTTAATGTAGAGTGATTATGATACTGGATATTGATTCAAAATATCGATTATGTGGTATCAACGTGTTCATAAAAAATACCCTTTTCAGATATGGTGATGATCCACCCTTGTTCCATTTGAAAAATTGAGTAAACATCATAATTACGATATTGTAATTTTTGAATGAACCTGCGAAACAAATAAAAATAAAACTTCATCGAAACTTTTTTTCTAGGCACAGATTCAAGCCAACTGTTCTAACTCATTCATGGCACTCTAGATTGAGAATGGAAATGAAAATGGGGTTTCATTGTACTCACAATTTAATTCTCTATCGAAATAAGTAAAAATATACCGGGTGTCCCATTTAAAACAGGAAAATATGGGTCCTTTCTTGTTAAATCGAAAGTGACAGAAAACAATCGAATACGTCAAATAATGCATATTTAGGTACCATACTTACACACCGGCTTTCATTTGTTTATCTGTATGAACAAAAAAGTTATAGGGGTGAGTCACTTTTGAGGAACACCCGGTATAAACTGAGATATCAAAAGTGAAATAGGTTGTTATTTAAAACCATTTTCTAGTCTTTCTATATAGTAGATAGTTGCAATCTTTCATTCATTATATTTTTCTGCAACTGTCGAAATAACTGCATGTGTTAGTCAAGCTGAAAGTGTTACATAAATGAATACTACATTTTGTTCTTCAAAGTAAGTGAAACTGAATTTTCATGTTGCGACTGTTACGAGTAGATAAGGTTCTTCTGTAGCTAATATGTTGAAAATTTCTATTTTTCGATGATTTTGCACGATTTTTCAGGTCTCGCCTTACTTTCTTCTGATACAAATAATGCCGTAAACTGAATTCTCACAGACCTTCATGTTTTTGAGATACAGGGCGAAGTCGAAAATTCTCACTTTTTGTGCAACTCCCGTATCTTAGTTACTAATCGGTAGAATGAGAACTTATATAACTTTATACGTTTAATACATTTTATTTTTCTAAACGGCGCTCATTTATAGAACATGGAGCCAATTTTTTTTTCAAAAGGGACACCCTGTATATTTCTATCCAGTTCTCATAACTTATCAAAAAATATATAATAATTGATTTTTTTTTATTTGAAACAAAAATACTTTGGCTTCATTTTCTAATAATGAGCGATTACAAAATTGAAATGAGTACGCCACTGCATGAAACGTAGAAAATATAAGGCCATGTTCTCATCCTACCGATAATTTGAAAAGTAGCCAAGATACGGGGTTGCTCAAAAAGAGAGAATTTTCAACTTCGCCTGCCCTGTATCTCAAAAACATATGAAGGACTGGGAAAATTTTGTTTATTCGCTTCACAAAAAAGTAAGACAGTAATGTGCCACTCTTTTAGTTATTGTTCCACTAATTTTATTTTTTCTCGTTTGTACTGACTTAGGTTAGGTCTATGTTATACAACAAACTGATTCGAAATACTGACACTATTCAACAAAAATGATAACATTATCTTCAATGGAATCCGGATAAATTGATAGTAGAAATACTAAATCAGAGTATTACTTTACCAGCCTTACCAAAGGAATAATGAATGAGCATATCATAAAGATAATATGCTTCATGAAAAAATAAGTAGGTACTTTATATATTTCCTAACCATAAATGACAATATTGAGGTTAATGACTATATTGTACAAATAGACATGTTTCCGAGCATAATTCTTACTATTTGTTTCACCTTTAGACGTCACAATTATTTTATAACTTGCATAATAGATATACCTACATTTCAAGATCGACTTTTGAAAAAATGATTACACGAGTAGTTGAAATTATTGCTATCTAACTCAACAGAAAATTTGTTCATATAAATTATGTTGGTTACTTAACTGAAATTAATGAAAAATTTAACCTACAATTTTTTTTCTGTAAAAGTTATCGGCACGTCGTGGGCAGTTTCACCAGTTAAACGCTCAACAAATTGAATTCTCAATTTTTTTTTATGTTCTGGTTCCCACGGAAAGGGATATCCTTTAATGTTCAGAGAACATCATGAGAACCAAGGGAAATAAGGTAGCAATTGGTTTTCTTCTTAAATTTCTGGAGGTTATATGCCTCGGGGAACACCTCCCTTGGCAATGTGTTCCAGAGCCTCGCTGTTCGTTGGATGAACGAGTCTTTGGAAAGAGATGTTCTGCAGGTCTCCAAAGTGACCACGAAGGGGTGCGAAGCCTCAACTCGACGGGTTAATCTCGCGAGGACTGCCAAAGGAGGAACAATTGTTGATATTTCAGAAGAGCATCGTCCATGAAAATTTCTAAAAAATAAAGCCAGATCGCCAACTTTTCTACGGTGTTCTAGAAAAGTGAGTGAGTTTGTGAGCGAGGCATCACCCACGAGACGAATTGCCGTTTTTTGGAGAGAATCCAACAGTTTCAGGGTATGTTTGGGTGCTGTACCCCAAATATGGAAACAGTATTCCAGGACAGGTCGGATCTGTGCCTTATATAGATCATAAGCAGCTGACTGGAAGTGAAATAGCTCCTGGCCCAAAACAGAAAACCAAGTTTTTGGGATGCACTTTTAGCAATTGATCTCACGTGATTTTCCCAAGAAAGGTTATTGCTGATAGTAATACCAAGCATCGAAATGGATGTCTTCAACGGTATGGTTATTGCTGACAAGCTTATGTTGGGCACAGTGAGATCGGCTTTTCTAGAGAGAAGGCAGAGGTTTGTGGCACTAGTTCTTTAGCCAATTTCTCTGCAGTTAAAATGGCGATTTTAGAGTTTGTATTTCTATATTCTTAGGAGAAAGTACAGCATTCTTTCCACATTATGTCTGTGCATTCACTGAGATCTATATCTGTTGATTGTAGAGGGATTCGGATGCGGAATGACATTAATTTGAAAAATTTTGAGAATTTATAGGCCCTACCATAACGCCGCTACTGCAAACAAACAATCAATCAAATCTTTCCTCTTTATACTATAAGTATAGACTATATGGATCGAAATCAATGTATTGTCTTGCGTTTACCTGCCAACTAACAAGAATCGTTCGGACAGTACCGGAAACAGAAATGTTCCTTGACCTAAAAAGTGCCACTTCATTCTGTATGGTTGCCACACCATTTATTCCATACGTTAATCAGAAACGCTCTGAGGAAGCTATATATACGTTTCGAAATGTTATACGTGGGACCCAAATCGTATTGGGCAACTTTATTCGAATCTATGAAATTCAGTGTAACATCATCTTCTACCGAGTGGTAGAAATTCATTGGAGATTATTATTCCATTTGTCTCATGAAGCAATATACCTATGCTTTGATATTGAAAAAGTCATGTATTATTCTTGGATATTTTGTATTCTTTTTCGGTTTTTGGGATTACTTTACATTTTTTTCTTTTATTTTCAGTTGACAAAGAACAGAACTACAACCAACTTCACCAGCTACTATCGAGGCAAAGGTCAGATCTACAGCATCAAAACTTATGCGATTATGCAAGAAGGAAGTCTGTTTATCCGCCCACAACTGGTACGTTCTGTTATTAAGTTTTTGTAACGAAAAATAAGCAAAATTAATATTTATGAAGTTTTCTCGGATATGGAAGTTAGGAAAACCATAAGGTTGTAAATGTATTGAAGGTCAACCATCTCCCTCAGACCATGCACCATCTGTCTCTATGTTTTTGAATAATTTTCAAATCTCAAAATGAGTATACTTCCACAAACAAAACCAAATGAGTTGCACAAACAGGATCGTCATTTCAGTGAATACCAAAGGGGTAAAAAAATTCAGACACAACTTCCGTACGTTGAAAATGCGCCGCAAACGATTTTTTTTCTTTGATTCAAGATCAAATACCTTCAGATTTCGAACCACATTTTAGTGTATACCGACAATTCCTATACTGGTATAAATGTGAATGCTGGACCATTTAGATCATTCAACCAATCTGCTTCTGAGATTCTCAATTCAATTGTTTATTTTTAGTCAAGTTGAATCCATTAATTCAACAATAACGAAAGGCGACTCAAGAAGATTCCCCTAGATATCTGAATTATTAGTAATATTGTCTCAATAAAATCATGATCCCACATAATATGAAATAATAGTACAGTAAATTCATGGAAGAAGGTTTTCAAGTCATGGGTTTACATGGAATCTTACCAGAGGTCTATTTTCTTTTTGTTTTTGTTTTTGCACGTTATGAGTCATCCATTCCATCTAGTCGCATCGGTCTGTATGATAATTGATGCTAGAGAGTTTCACTACAACTTTACCTCAGACCATTTTTCGCGTAGGATCAGTTTTTTCCCCAATATTTAGCTGAATAGTTGACTCAGAACTTGAAATTAGAATTTTTTGGAAAAATTCACCCATATTCAAAGTGGTGTATCTCGAGAACCATATACCTACTGCTGCTTTTATACTGAAATAGTGGAAATTCAATGATTTTATTTTTTGCTGCTGCACATAATTTTTGGAATCATAGGCAAAACCCCGAAAAAAGGGCGAATATTTCAATTTTTTTCTCAAAACGAACCAGGATATTTTGTTGGATAGCTCCAGATCTGGATTCAGCAACCCGAAAAATATAGGGAACGATGATAAAATCGACTACTGGATTTTTGCACCGTAAACAATGATTTGCCTGAATTTATTCCGGAATTCACAAAATTTTTGTTATCTCATCCGAATCAACAACTACTATCACTCATAACAGCAAATGAGTTACTCATCAGTCTATTGTAAATAATTTGTTATGCGTTATTTCGATGATCGATGATATTGTCAAATTGCTGGAAACGAAAATTTTCATATTTTCGAAAATTTTTCATTTACTTCCCTATTCAGGTATATTTTATGTATTGTATGGTATCTACTATCATACTGAATTATGTTTAGAACATTTTGAAATATTTTTTTTTCAATTGGTAGATTTCAATGCAAACAAAACACAGGCGTGCCTTTTCTCTTGAAAAGCCGATCTCACTGAGCCCAACATGAGCTTGTAAGGAGTAACAATACCTTTGAAGACATCCATTTCGATGCTTGGTATCACTATCAGCAATAACCTTTCTTGGGAAAATCACGTGAGATCAATTTGCGAAAAGTGCATCCCAAAAACTTGGTTTTCTATTTCGGGCCAGGAGCTATTTCACTTCCAGTCAGCTGCTTATGATCTATAAGGCACAGATCCGACCTGTCCTGGAATACTGTTTCCATATTTGGAGTGCAGCACCAAAACATCACCCTGAAACTGTTGGATTCTGTCCAAAAAAGGGCAATTCGTCTCGTGGGTGATGCCTCGCTCACAAACTCACTCACTTCTCTGGAACACTGTAGGAAAGTTGGCGATCTGGCTCTATTTCATAGATATTTTCATGAACGATGCTCTTCTGAAATATCAACAATTGTTCCTCCCTTGTCAGTCCCCGCGAGATTAACCCGTCGAGTTGAGGCTTCGCACCCCTTCGTGGTCACTTTGGAGACCTGCAGAACATCTCTTCCCAAAGACTCGTTCATCCAACTAAAAGCGAGGCTCTGGAACACATTGCCAAGGGAGGTGTTCCCCGAGGCATATAACCTACAGAAATTTAAGAAGACTACCAATTCCTACGGTTATCACGATGTTCTCACATCAGGATATCCCTTTTCGTGGGAACCAGAACATGCGGTCACAGAAAGGTTCTAAGTAGAACTAATTTTTTTGTACAAAATCAGGTTTGGGGCAATTGCTCCCTCTCTTCCCTGACCCCAAATGACGCCCGTTTGCACAAAATATCTTGGCTTTCAAAACTGTTGCAGTAATAGCGCTTCTGATGGTCAAGTTCCAAAATATACAGGGTGATTCACATAAGAACCGACATAGAGCAGAGGCATGTAGGAGGTCCCAAAATATGGCAATTTAACGCAACTTACCTCTATACCAAGTTGCTTCCCTAAGGAGTTATAGGCTTTGAAAGTGAGGTTATAAATTTTGAAAAAAATCAATATCTCCGTTATTCTTGAACTTAAAGCAACCAAAGTTGGTACACTTTGTGGATGTATTCAAAGCGTTACTTGACAGTAACTAGAGCTTAATTGAAATTTGTAAAGGGGGTATACCGGGTGGCGCACCATTCATATTCAACAGAATTTTGTTAACCCTCGATGGATTTCAAAAATATCTATTCTGTTGTGTGGGCAATTCAATTCTAAAACTTTTCTTAGTCCAGTTATTCCTCAAAAAACCTCATCATTTTCATCAAAAACTCGAATAATTGAAATTGCGCACTCTAGGTGTGTTATTTGAAATCATCGAAAATTCAAAAGTTGCCTATGAAAATAAACGTACAACAAGAAAGTAGGTCATTTATTGTGATCAATAGAAATTAGCTGGCAAATTATTATTTAGATACTTAACAAAATACGTAAAGTAAGGACAGATACTAAAATGTGAAAAACTGGGATAAACAACTAACCAAAATAAACACAAAAAACTTAAACAACCAGAACAAACAATTGTTTATCGATAAAATACTTATTTGAACAACTTACTTGCTTCATTGTCAAGTTTGACGTTTATTTTCATAGTCAACTTTTGAATTTTCGATGATTTTAAATAACACACCTAGAGCACGCGTTTTCAGTTATTCGAGTTTTTGATGAAAATGATGAGGTTTGTCGAGAAATTAATAGACTAAGAAAAGTTTTAGAATTGATTTTCCCACAAAACAAAGCGAAGATTATTTAAATCCATCAAGGGTTAACAAAATTATGTTGAATATTAATGGTGCGCCACCCGGTATACCCCCTTTACAAATTTCAATTGAACTCTAGTTACTTTCAAGTAACGCCCTAAATACATCTACAAAGTGTACCAAATTTGGTTGCTTTAAGTTCAAGAATAACGGAGATATTGATTTTTTTCAAAATTTATAACTTCACTTCCAAAGCCTATAACTCCTTAGGAAAGCAACTTGGTATAGAGGTAATTTGCGTTAAATTGCCATATTTTGGGACCCCCTACATGCCCCTGCTCTATGTCGGTTCTTATGTGAATCACCCTGTATAGTATTGCATGATGAGGTATATGTTTGGTGCCTTGTGTAATACCCTTTCCAAAGTTGTTTACTGAATTTTGTCGCACATGCCGACATCTGATATTGTTATTATTCCGTCAAAATCATGACATTTGCGAATCCACCCTCGCACATTTTTCTGCAGATGCCAGGCAAAGGTCTGCATCACCACAGAATTGACTAATCATAACGCAACCCCTTCGAACACGTGTCGAAAATGGTGAAAAACATCGAAAATGCATAATCCTCTGCAATGTGTCATTCTGTCTTCTTCTCAATGTGTGTACTCTGCAACCATATATTTTGGACATTGGGGTCTGAAAGTTGACACAATACCAGAATTTAGTGCTTACCCTGTTTCTATAAGTACAGCTGTTCTCGAGAGGGTTTATTCAAATGCCTAATACCTTACCCTTTCACATTGCACAACAAAGTATTAACTTGAGCGTATGCACCTTTTTGTTTGAATAAGGAAGATTTGCCGCAAAATCAATATTGTGCGTCTCAGAACCTGATATCTCTTCATTATACTCCAATGTCACACGTGACGACTGCTGTAAGTTTATTCGATTCAGAAAAACTGGTAATTTAAAGAAAAAACGTAGTCCATCTACTGTTGGCCTAATCAATATAATTTTTTTAATATTTAGAATTAGAAAATATCGAGGAAAATATGAAACAGAGACAATCCCTGTGTAGGTTACATACAGAATTCTTCTCTAGTTTATTAGTTTTTAGTTTAGATGATATATGTGTTTCCGGAAGAGCTACATACAGATTGAAAGCAGGGCACTCCCATAAATATTTCATTTATGGAGCGATTTTCATGATTTTTTTATTTTTTGAAATCTGGAGGGGGCAAAGGTGTATTTCGGAGCTGAGCGGCGTATATTTTTTCCCAAATTAATAGGTCCACAGCTTTTATAGTCGTAAAATTTAATAGTATTGAAAAGGAATATTCTCAGCACAAACCGTTTCTTGCTGTGATCAAAAGTTGAGATAGGGACATATTGTGAGCCATTTTGACCAATAATGAATAGTTTTGACAAAAAAAATCGTAAAGTTGAAAAATGTCGATTTTTCACACCCTTTATCTCTGTAATCATTTCCGCTAGACCCCAAGTGTGATACATCGATGAAATCAGCTCTTTGGAGAGAATCTGAAAATGCAATAAAATACAGGGTGTTCCATTTAACATAACAAAGTTGTTGCTACTTTTCGATAGAAGCGGCAACGCCGCAGAGCTGAAAATATTTTAGATCGACAGACCAAGAGCAACTACTTGAGTAACCAAAATTTCAGAATGATCCTATGTCCCTTTCTCCATAAACGTCTAACGTACCATCGACCGTGAGTTACCCTGTATATACATCCCGTGAGGTCATTGATGAAAATGGGATAGCCTGTACAGGAAAAAATATCAATCGATATCCAAGTTCATTTATTGGGGAAAGTTATGGTCCATT